GTGTCAAATAAAAGTAATCTTAATGTCCCCAACTCAGACGTTATGATTAATTGTTACGCCAGCAGCAGCAGCATGTATATGTGATGAATTAATAATTACTTCACTTTATAAATTAATCCTTTTAATATAAAATTAAGACCCCATATTTATTATTTATTTACTTGTTCGCTCTGTGTTGCGGCCAATATTTATTTTTATAAAACACAAAAATACTATAAGATCAAAAGTGTTGGGCCAGCTAAAATGCCGGGGTTAAGAACTTCAAGTGTATTTAATTTGTTTATTTAAAATTTTATATTTTTTTAAAAAATAGTTTTTCTCTTTAATAGTAATAATAGTATTTTTTAAAAAAAATTATTAATAATTATAATAACAATAATTTTTAATTTTACCCTTCAAATCAAATTTAAGGTTATTTTTCAATATTGATAATAGTTTTTTTAAGTTATTAATTATTTTATAAATAATATTAATCATAATGAAAATAATAATTTTTATAATACAATTAATAATAATTTTTATATTAATATTTTTAATTTTAATTTTAATAAAAATATTTATAAACATAAATAATAATATTTATAAACCTTAGATCCAAGAACCTTGAGTTCTGACAAAAGACCTAGGAGAATTAGGTCCGAAGACAGAATCCAATCAACATGGGTCACGACGCAAGACTCATAAACCTTAGATCTTGATGCATGACCCATCACCATTAAATCTTGACATTAGACCCAAGCGAATTGGGTCTTAACACAACACTTAAGAGAATTGAGTATAGAGGTAAGATCCAATCGAAATGGATCCTAAGGCATGACCCGAGAGAATTAGGTTTTGTGGCATGACTGATTTTCTTTGGGTCTTGACACAAGACCAAAATTAAATTTGAACTCGAGATCCATTAGTTTTAGGTCTTGATACCAGACCAAGTGTTTTTGAATCCTCAAATTTTATTAGGTCATGTTGTGTAGCCGAATTCAAAGCTATTTTGAGTCCTTCCTATGAAAGACCTAAAATAGCTTGAGGTCAAATAGTGGTATCAAGTGAAATGAATCATAACGCAGGACTCAAGACAATTAGCTCCAGACTCATGATCAAAAAGACTTGGATCCTGGCGAGGACCCAAGCGAAATGGGTCCTAATGCAAGACCAATTGATCCTGTGTCTGGAGCTCCCAAGAGAATTATAATAAAAACAATTATATTTATAACATAAATAATTATATTAAGAAACTCATAAATATTTATAACATAAATTATAATATTTTTTATATTAATACTTAGAATTATAATAAAAATAAAAATATTTATAACATAAATAAAAATATTTTTTATATAAATACTTTGAATTTTAAAAAACATAATAATATTTATAATATAAATAATTATATTAGAAAACTTAAGATCAAGACTCTTAGATCCTGACACAGGACCCAAGAAAATTGAGTCCTAATACAAGACTCAAGTGAAATGTATCCTGACATAGAACCTAAAACAATAGACTCTAGATTCAGGATCCAAGAGACTTGGATCCTGAAGAAGTACCAAGCAAAATAGATCTTGATGCTGGACCCAACAAATTTGTATCTAGATGTTGGACTCAAAGTTAATTAGTTTTGTGTCTGGAGCACCTAAGAAAATTATAACAAATTTGCATCTAGACGCTGGACCCAAAGTTAATTATTTTTGTGTCTGGAGCACCCAAGAAAATTATAATAACAATAATAATATTTATAGCACAAATAATTATATTTTTGAGATAAATACTTTGACTTATAAAAAATAATTATATTTATAATACAAATAATTATATTAATAAACCCAAGACCTAGAGACTTGGATCCTAACACAAGATCCAAGCGAAATGGGTCATGACTAGGACTTATGAGCGATGGGTCCTGACACCATCTGCAATCATGAACCTAAACACCTAGAGTAACCCTAATGCCATGTGTCTACAGATTGTGGTCTGCAACTCCACTAGGCATGTTAGCACATATGGTTTACCTACCCAGCACCAGGTGTTTGTAGTATAGGGCCCGCACCCCCACCAAAACTAAAGATGATTATTTTCTACCTAACCATCTCTTCAATGCTATATACTTCCCAGTGGAAAGACAATCCCACCTTTCCCTGCAATCTTTCCAACTCTTTATGGTAAAGGTAGCTCTATTATTACATTGTTCAAATCTACAGTGCTTTGTGTTTATATAAACAGTAACAAGAGCATTAATCCCTTTTAGTATATTGTATAACTAGTTTATAGTTTTTGTTATGTTGTTGGATAATTTAAATAAAAAATATTCAAATTATATTGAATTATTTGATATTATTATTAAACTCAAGTCAACGAATTAACTTTAAAATTTTCAAATCATAATCATTATTTAGCCTGAATTTAGAATTAAATTGTGTAGGAGTTACCTCGACTTATCCTAATCTATTTGAAAAATCCAAAATCGACCAAAATAATTAATAAAAAATATGGTTTGAATTTTTTTTTAAAAATAAGATGATGTCTTTTTTAAAATTGGGATGCTAACATATTTGATTAGTGTAATTTTTATGACAAACCAAAATAATTTATGGAGATAAATTCATAATAAATCAAAGAAAGTAATGAAGAATAATTTTATTTAAAAAAAAAAACTCACCTCCTCCACTCATTCCGTACACTCATTCCGTACACTCATCACATATAGAGTCGTTGCAATAGTATTTTCTAGAGACGCCGGCTGAATCTTGGACCACATGAAAACACCGAGACACTTGCTATTGATAACCAGCCAGGCTTCCGTCCCGGTGGCTGTATGGGGATTATGGCAGCCAGATTAGAAAGGCTGGAAGGGTGGATGTCGTGATCGAGGCTCGCCAAATCAAGTGAAGAATTTACGTTAACAAATAGATCGGTTGGCATATCCCACACCACTTAAAGACAATGTGATTTTTTAATAAAAAAATAAAAATTTATTTTTAATACCTGCACATCAAAATAAAAAATATATATATTAAAAAAATAATTTAAAAATTATGTTTGTTGTCGCTATGCTAATCAATGTGCAGGCAGCAGGGGTGTAGAATAAAAGTAATCTTTATGTCCCCAACTCAGACGTTCGGCCAATAAACAACGTGGATTAAATGTTACGCCAGCTGCAACGACATGTATATGTGATGAATTAATAATTATTTGACTTCATCAATTAAGCCTTTTAATACAAAATTAACTTCACATTTAAAAATGTTTAATTAGTGAAACGTACCTACCTGTGTTGGCTAGGGACACATATCTATTAGTCAATTACTGGTTTATAGTTTGTAGGATGTTGTTGGATAACTTTTTTTATAAAAAAATATTAAATTATTTGATATTATTATTAAACTCGAGTCATGTTAATTTTAAAATTTTTAAACTATAATTATTATTTAGCTCGATTTTAATATTAAATTATATAAAAATTGTTTCAACTTATCCTAGCGATTTAAAGAATCTAAAATCAACTAAAATAATTAATAAAAAATATGGTTTGAATATTTAAAAAAAATTAAGATATTTTTTTTTAATATTAAAATAATAATATATTTAATAATATATTTGATTGGTCTAAGTTTTATGACAAACCAAAATACTGTAAGGAGATAAATTTATAATCAAGCAAAGAAAATAATGAAAAATTATTTTAAAAAAAAAAGAAAAAAAAACTCAACTCCTTCACTCATTCCATATAATTGACTTGCTCGGTTTGTATTTATGGTGAACTCAAAGCATAAAGTTTAACTTCAACTCTTTTAAAATTTGATAGATTTAGATAAGAATTTACGTTAACAAATAGATCGGTTGGCATATCCCACACCGCTTAAAGACAATGTGATTTTTTAATAAAAAAATAAAAATTTATTTTTAATACCTGCACACCAAAATAAAAAATATATATATTAAAAAAATAATTTAAAAATTATGTTTGTTGTCGCTATGCTAATCAATGTGCAGGCAGCAGGGGTGTAGAATAAAAGTAATCTTTATGTCCCCAACTCAGACGTTCGGCCAATAAACAACGTGGATTAAATGTTACGCCAGCTGCAACGACATGTATATGTGATGAATTAATAATTATTTGACTTCATCAATTAAACCTTTTAATACAAAATTAACTTTACATTTAAAAATGTTTAATTAGTTAAACGAACCTACCTGTGTTGGATAGGGCCACAAATTTATTATTCAATTACTGGTTTATAGTTCATAATATGTTGTTGGATAACTTTTTTTAACTAAAAAAATAAAATTATATTAAATTATTTAATATTATTATTAAAGTCGAGTTAATATATTAATCTTGAAATTTTCAAATTTTAATTATTATTTAGCTCGATTTTAATATTATACTGTATAGAAATTATTTTGATTTACCCTAGTTGAAAAATCTAAAATCAACTAAAATAATTAACGAAAAACATGGTTTGGATTTAAAAAAAAAATTAAGATATTTTATTTTTAATATTGAGATTCTAATATATTTGATTCCCAAACCAAAATACTTTATGAAGATATATTCATAATCAAGCAAAGAAAATAATGAAGGATTATTTTTTTTTAAAAAAAAAAACCTCACCTTCTTCGCTCATTCCACATCAGTGACTTGCTCGGTTTATATTTATGATGATCTCAAAGCATAAAGTTTAACTTCAACTCTTTTAAAATTTGATAAATTTAGATTTCGTTCATGCTTGTCTCAAACTCAGTTTAATTTTTTATCGCTCTTCAAATAGATTTTTATTTTTCACTTGAGCTTCCTTCCTTGCAGTCTAATGCTTTTGAGAGTTTTTACTTTAAAGACAGAACATTTAGATATCTCAGCTTCTTGATTTTTTATATAAACGTGCATTTCAATTTCAATTTTTATTCACTGATTTACTTACAATAGCACTACGTAATATTTAGATGTATAAGCTAAAATATACACATTGAAATTGTAAGAGAAAAGGGCGATAATTGTTACGAGCAATCATGGAAGGAATACATGCAATCATTCATTCATAACCGATGGAGTTGAAACACAAGGAAGCAAGGGCTTCATGAAGAAAGAAGATAGTGATACAAATCGACGATCGACGTGCCATCATTAAAGGAAATAAGAGGAGGTAGCCAGTCGTCACGGCAGTCTTTTCTAGAGAGGCTTGAAAACAGGGGAACACTTGCTATTGATAACCCGCCACGCTTCTGTCCTAGTGGTTTGTGGATTACTGCAACCAGATGAGAAAGGTTGGTAGGGTGGATATCACTGGAGGCGCTTCAAATCAAGTAAAGAATTTATGTTAACAAATAGATCGATCTGGCATGTCCCACACCACTTATGGTTGGAAGCTATAGAGTGCCGGACGTGGTTCTGGTGCGCAAACAAGGTCATGGAACCTTGGAGCTGTTAAGCCAGGCCTTTCGGTCATATCAACAAGAGCATTGCCCTTGATTTTCACACCATCTGGGTCAGCCACTTTCCACTCGAAACATTGGATCATGGCAGCCAAAGTCACAGGTAGTTCCAGCAAAGCCAAAGCAATGCCAGGGCAGCTTCTTCTGCCAGTACCAAAAGGCAACAGCTCATAATGTTGCCCTTTAATGTCCATCGAGGCAGTGGATTGAACCATATCCCCTTCAATATCCCCTTCAGATTTTAGAAACCGTTCAGGTTCAAATTCTAATGGGTTTTTCCAGTACCTTGAGTCTCTTCCAATAGACCAAATGTTCACAAATAACAATGTGTTTTTGGGGATTATGTATCCATTGATCTTGCTTTCTTGAATTGATTTTCTTGCAATCATTGGAATTGGTGGGTGAAGCCTAAAAGTTTCCTTGATGATGGCCTGGATATAAGGAAGATTTGGAGAGTCTGATTCTTCTACTAGCCTCTTGTTTCCGACGACTGTATCAATCTCCTGCCGTGCCTTCTCGAGTACCTTTGGATTGTTTATGAGCTCTGCTAGTGCCCATTCAGTTGCAGCTGCTGTTGTATCCGTTGCAGCTGTTATGAAATCCTTTTGAAAAATGCAACATAAATCAGAACCAAAACAAAACAAAACAAGTAGTAGTAGTAATAATAATAATAATTCAAGTCACTATTTTATAGGGTTTTCCTTACCAAAACCAAGGCTTTAATGTGCTCTCTAGTTAGCTCTACCTCGGTGCTTTTATCTTCAAATGCATCAAGCATCATGTCCAAAAGATCTTTAACCTTGTATTCTCCTCCACTTTTCTTTCTTTCTATCTCGCGGTTTGTGATAATATTCTCCAACAATGCATCATACCTTCTATGGACATCCTCAAATTTCTTTCTATACCCCTGAAAGTCCAAGTTCCTGCAAAACCAAATGAAATCGGAGACATTAAACTCTCCAAAGATTTGTGTCACCTCACGCACCAAAGTTCTAACACCTTCAGCCTCGTTATCAGTCCCTGAACACCTGAGACTTAGTATAATTTGTGAGATTATGTTGCTTGATAAATTTAGCAACTCTTTAGTGACATTAACACTCTCACAAGCTTTAGACTTGTCGTGTAGAACCCCAATGAATTGGCGCAGTTCCTTTCTTCGTACAGGGAGAAATTGGTTAAGTGCCCGGTTACCCAAGAACTCGAACGTGCTCAACTTTTTGATGAATCTCCAATAAGGTCCATAGGGTGCAAAGGCAAAAGAAGAGCTATAGGTAAGGTGATCAATGGCTAAAGAATGCTTGCGGGAAGAGAAGGTGAGGTCGTTTGTCTTGAGGAGTTCTCTAGCGAGTTCTGGTGTGGAAGCCACAACACAAGGGACAGAACCAAGGCGGAGATAGATTAAGGGACCATAACGAGAACATAAATCACGAAAAGAACAGTGAATTAGGGGCTGAAGAAGATGGAGATGACCAATGATTGGTATGGGCATTGGACCAGGAGGAAGGGAGCCATGCCCTTTATTGGTTAAGATGAAGACTGTAAGCAGAAGAATGGCAAAACCAGCTATTATAAGCTCAAAAATCATGTTGCATAACCAGAACGGATGTAAAAACAAGTACAAAGAAACACAGACTTTTCTGTTTCTCTGGAACCAAGGAATCCTGTGTTTCCTTGTTACCATAGCTATGCGAGGTATGTATATATACACACACACTGGTGAGCGAGTGTTCGGAAGTTCAGGTTTTTTTTTTTTTTTTTCCACTTTTAAAAAGTGTATTTTATTTATGAAAATATTAAAATAATATTTTTTTAGTGTTTTTTATAATTTTATTATGTGAATATTAAAAATAAAAAATAAAAAATAAAAAAATCTAACATATTTTTAAGTAAGAATAATTTTAAAAAATACAATGCGTAATTACAGTATATTGTTTTTTTAGATTTAAGAAAAACTTTATCCCTAAAAAAGTATATTTTATACTTTTTTGGATTTATCTTTAAAAAAACATATTTTTTGAATTTAAATAAATAAATAAAATTCTAATCATCTTAGATTTTTATAAAACATATATATTTTAACTCAAATTCAAGATGTATTATACAAATTTTAAATCTTCTGTCATCACGCATTACGTACCTTACGACACAATTAACATAATTACAGTATACGATGCCAACAAATTTCTTTTGTTTTTTTACCCTTGTTTTCTTCGATGGCCTATAGAAAATCTCCACCCTCTACATGTCATCTTAATACGAGTTGCATCATTCAACCATTTTGTAAAACGATTCCACAATTTCCAAACAATTGAACAATGCATAAAAGGATGATCCATATTTCTTGCAGCTTTATCACAGAAAGAGCACATAAATTCATCTAAATGCAACAAAATGCCTTCGAACATTTGATTTTAGAATTCAAGGAGGTTACTGCAAGATCTGATAGAATAAACACCAGTTCTTAGTTTCTTGCCTCCATTGTTTAGAATCTGGAACATTTGATTTTAGATGAATACCTTTAACTTGATCTAGAAAACGATGCAGACGCCCCGATGCAGTTGTTCTTAAATCTCTCTTCCAAGAGAAGTTCCCAATACCAAGCTTGCTAATTATAGTTTATAAAATATAAAAAATTAGATTAAATATAATTATAGGTCGAGAACCGATCGACGGCGGGCATAACTTGCTAATTAGATCTCCTTAATTGCTACCACTATCTCATTGGGAGTTTTGTTTTTTTATTTTCTTTTTTGTTCCCTTGAAAAAATTACTCATAACTTGAGGGACTGAAATATACTGCCCAGCCCAAAAAGAGCACGGTGGCACGACCATCCACCACTCCTCGGAAGTTGTAACAAGGAGTCAATTCGACTGTTCTGTCAAGTGTCACCATCACCCCACTCAGGAAAAAAGGACAGTTATGATACAAGAAGAGACAAGCTGGCACTGAAAGAGTTAGGGACCGAACTTATCCATATGAAAATAGAAGGACTAAAGTGTAATATATGTTATCAAACCATGGCTTGTGGCAAATTTAGGACCCCTAGAACTACCAAACTCCTACTTGACGACGTGGAGTCATTACAGACTCTTGATGGTAAGTAGCACGCCCCTGCCCACACCATCTTGTAAGTCCAGATTTCAAACAATAAGTGGCCACCCTCTTAATTACATCCCACCAAACCCCCTTTGTCTCCCTGAAAAAAAGTGGTGACTTCATTGTTTTCCGGTGCACATTTCATCGCCGACGTAACCATAAATTTATCATTTTATGGTCCCAGAAAACACCTCTTGTCCAGAGGCTGAGGGTACGGTTATCTTTTTAAATGGAGTATTTTGATTTTTTTAAATTGATCAAGAGATGCCATAAGGTTTTAAATCTTTATACCTTGTATCTGAGATGAGATGAGAGTATTTTTACTATTGTATTTTTTTTTATTTTTCATTTGTTATTGAATAAAATGAGAGTTATTTTTATCTTTTAATAAATTAAAGAGTTTAGAAAAACACTGATACATGCTGGGCATGCATCGACTGCTCCACTATATTTCAATAGCCCGTGCGACTGATTTCGACAATAACACATGTTATTCATTAAATATCACTTATTGTTTTTTGTTTTCTTTGTAAAAGTGACACATCTAGAAAAGAATTTTTAGTTTGATTTTGGTAAAAAAAATTTTTCCCTCTCCCTCCCTCGATTCGTTTATCCTGTAATTTTTCAAATCAATCTTCAAATTTTTCTTTATTTTTTATTTTGTTCTTGATCTTTTGATTAATATATATTCTATTTTAAATAACTTAATAATTTAAAATTTATTTTAATTTCATTCTCATTTGATTTGTTTTACTTTTTTGTTTTTTATTTAGTCCATCATCTTTTGATTGATATATTTTTTATTTGAAATAACTTGTGAAAATTAAAAAAAAAATAATTTCATCATCATTTAATTTTTTAAATGTGTCCTATTTAGTTATTATTATTTTAGTTTATATTTATATCATTTGAGATAATTTTTATAGTGTAATTTTTTTATGATTTCACTCTCATTTATTTTTTTATTAGATTCTATTCTTATTCTTTTAATTCTTTTTCTTGCTTTACTAAATTTTTTAGTTTTATATTTTTTACACTCAATTATATAGTTAATTTAGATTTGAACTTCTTGATTAACTTCATTTTGTAATTTCATGGATTCCAGGTGAGAAAATCAGTTAAGTTTAAAAACATTTGTTAGAAGTTGCTTTCTATGTTTTTAATTTTTTTTATGTTTTTTGTTTGTTTTAGATTTTAGATTTTGATATTTAGTTTATTGGATGTTAAACTCTATAGTTTTTTATATGCTTCCCACATTCTTTTATTTTTTATTTTTTATTATTTGGTTAGATTATATAGGGTCTCTTTATGTTTTGTGTTTTGTTAGATATGTTTTCTCAAAATAATTTTTTTCATTAATTAAATATAAATGATTTATTGAATATAAATAAATATTTTATACTACAATTCAATTATTATTTTTTGAATTTTATAGTAGTGTTTGTTAGGTTGTATATAATAATTAATTAATTAACAGTTTATTCAACTTATACACCAATTTACTAAAGTGATGAACTTCGTTATTACTTTAGACATTTATCAACGAATGATTGATCCTATGTCTTGATAAAAATAAAGTCCAAAAGAATTGCAAAAGAGTATATAGAAAGGTAGTTTTGCCAATGTATACACAGTTGTAGTTGTAGATAAGATTTCAAGTTAATTTTAAATATTAAAAAACCATTAATATTATAAAATTAAAAATGTTTTTTTTTCATATCATGAGATTTATTAAATAATGAAAGGGAAGATGATGTATGTGTTTAATACAATGATTGAAAATATATCAACAGATAAATTAAAAAGAATTATGGATGCTAATTAAACATTAAAATGGAAAGTTAATTTTCTCAATAAGAAGTAAAAAGATAGATATAATTACTAAGATTTTATCTTAGCTACCATTGTTGCCTTTTACATCACCTTTCATGATTTGAAAACTCTAAAATACATTGTAATCACTCTAAAAATAAAATAAAAAATTAATGGATTTTTAAAAAAAAATATTTCACAAGTCTCCATTTGCTTTTTCCAGCATTTTCAAAATATAACAACACCTCTAATAGACCACCAAGATGAACATTTTTATGGTTAGAATGTGGTTGACTGTACCATTTCTCCTTTATCTAGTGACTTTGTCAATCGTTTTTTTAACATTTGTGAACCAAAAACGTAATAAAAATTAAGTTTAAAATAAAAAATAAATGTGTAAAATAATAGGGATCAAATATGAAAAGTAAAATAAAATGAGAGACTAAAGTGAAGTTTAATGCTTTATGAATATTACACCTAGAAAAAAACGCCTTGATTTGATTTGATTTTTTGTTTATGTTACTTTTAATAGTAATCAAATATGAAAATAAAAATTAAAGGATAAAAGTAAAGTTCTTCACCCTGTTTGAACATTGCAACAACAACAAAAGATTGTGTTTATTTATGTAATTTTGAATTTGATTTTTTTAATTTTTCTTAACAATAAACTATAATTATATTTTATAAAATGTTTTGGAGCCCAGATTTTATCATTTAGGATTGCATTTTTTTAATTTTGTGTTTTTACTTTTAATTTTACTAACTTTTAGAGATTTTATATATATTTCTGTGTAAGTTTTGTCCACTTGTTTTAGAAATAACTTTTAAATTATTAAATAATAAAAAATTTCCAACCCAATTTATTAAGCTCAACTTGGATAATATTCTGGACGTCCAGAGTTTAATTTCAATTTGCATCTTCCGTTGGGGGACTTATATATATATATATATATATATTGAGCATCTAAGATTGGTAAAGGAGCCAAAACTTAAATTTTCGGCTCTCGAATTTTAAATTGCTCGAGGGAGAGCATTAGTATAGGCTCGGGACCCTGCCAACCTCCCTAGCTGCATCCCGAACGTGTCTCGCTGTATTAATATTTTATATAATTCAACTAAAAACTTAATTAATTCAAATTAAACTTTAATACTTTTTTTTTTTCAAGTCAACCTGGAGGCAGTTGAAATTTGAAATTATGGGTGAGCAAAAAAATCGAAAAACCGATTAAACCAAGAAAACCAGAAAAAAAAAATCAAAAAAAAAAAATGATTAAACCGATTAAAATTTTGAAAAAACCAGCCAGTTCGGTTCGGTTTCAGTTTTGTAACCAAAAAACCGAAAAACCGCACCGAAACCGAAAAAAAACCGAGTCAAACCAATTTGAACCGGTTTTCCCCCTAAAAAACCGAACCGAAACCGGTCGGTTTGACCCGGTTTCGGTTTGGTTTCGGGTTTTTTTTCAAAATTTTTTTTTGATTTGATTATTTTTTTTTGATAAAAACCAAACTGAATCGAAAATGATGACTTCTAGTTGAAATGAAAAGACCGGGCAGAAAGCTTGTTTTTTGTTTGGCAAACGGGCTCTAATTTAATCAAGTTGGATTTTCAGTCCATGAAGGCTTGGATACCAAAATGCCTAGCTGTACTAAGCCCATATAAAGCCCAAACGAACACAAGCAAGACCAACAGGACACTTCTTCTTGCAACCACGCTCCTCCCTCCTGCACGAATGTTGCATCCACTCGCCGCCACAAATGGCTGCGCGTGTAGTATCTTGAGAACAGTTTTCTGCTGAAGTAGTATATTTTTCTCAGGCTTATGTCTATGGCTTTGACTTGTGCTCATATGATCTCAACTAGCTTTATATGATCGTGTTCATCACAACATTAATTTGGCCTCCACTCCATTGACGATCTGTATTTTTAATGAAGTCAATCCAGCTACTGCCGCATGCTCCAGCTCAGCCAGGAATCTGATGCCTCTTAACACAGCTTTGAGATTGACATCAAACTAATCAAAGATCACCAACATAATCAATGCAAGAACATCAATTTTCCATGAGAAAAAGTAGGGTTTTGAGTCATCTTGTCTATTGTAACAAGACTTTGGTATCGGCATTAACACACTTTGTCCCCTTACCTAACATTTTATTAGTGTGGCCCCTCTACCTTTTGTGTTAGTCAGAGTTTCGGGTTTTTTTTCAAAATTTTTTTTTGATTTGATTATTTTTTTTTGATAAAAACCAAACTGAATCGAAAATGATGACTTCTAGTTGAAATGAAAAGACCGGGCAGAAAGCTTGTTTTTTGTTTGGCAAACGGGCTCTAATTTAATCAAGTTGGATTTTCAGTCCATGAAGGCTTGGATACCAAAATGCCTAGCTGTACTAAGCCCATATAAAGCCCAAACGAACACAAGCAAGACCAACAGGACACTTCTTCTTGCAACCACGCTCCTCCCTCCTGCACGAATGTTGCATCCACTCGCCGCCACAAATGGCTGCGCGTGTAGTATCTTGAGAACAGTTTTCTGCTGAAGTAGTATATTTTTCTCAGGCTTATGTCTATGGCTTTGACTTGTGCTCATATGATCTCAACTAGCTTTATATGATCGTGTTCATCACAACATTAATTTGGCCTCCACTCCATTGACGATCTGTATTTTTAATGAAGTCAATCCAGCTACTGCCGCATGCTCCAGCTCAGCCAGGAATCTGATGCCTCTTAACACAGCTTTGAGATTGACATCAAACTAATCAAAGATCACCAACATAATCAATGCAAGAACATCAATTTTCCATGAGAAAAAGTAGGGTTTTGAGTCATCTTGTCTATTGTAACAAGACTTTGGTATCGGCATTAACACACTTTGTCCCCTTACCTAACATTTTATTAGTGTGGCCCCTCTACCTTTTGTGTTAGTCAGAACAATGTCATAAAATTATTGTTTTTTTTTTTGTTTTTTTTTTATATGCTTTTAAAATACTTTAAAAAAATTAATAGGAAATTTATTTCATTGATGAGAGATGAATACAATGTAGTAGGTGATGATCAACAGCTCTACTTTCTTCTTCTTTTTTTTTTGGCGGGGAGGGCAAGAGATATCGTCTACCAAATAAATTTCATCAATCTATTAAAGATCCGTTGACTACACCTCCATAAAAAAACAGGAACATTAGATCTTATAATGACATAAAGCTTAAATATGGGATTAATGAAAAAAAATGATAAAAAAAAGAAAGAAAAATACTACGTTCATCAAGAAAACTCAAGCAACTCTCAAACCCTTAAAGTAAGAGAAAGAAAGGTTTTATTTTCTTAGAAATTAATGGGAATTCCACTAATCCTTAGAAATTAATATAATTATGTTTAGAAATGATAAGAGCGGAATATATAATGGAATTAGCACTTAAGTTAAATTTCCACACAGTGACACACAACTATTAATGATGGTAGAAGACATCGTTCTGTATTGCGTGCTATATATAAAAAAAAGGTTTCTGCATTAATGCCTTCGAAATATTTCCAAGGCAGTGGTCTCGCTGTGTATTTTTCAAACTAATTATAAAACATATGAAAATACCTAGTTAAAATACTGTAGCAATTAATAGTAGTTAATTTCTTTTTGTAACTTTTTGTGTCTAAATTAATGATCAACTTATTAAAATTAAATTAGTATTTGTTAAGGAGAAAAACATTTCAACGAAAAAGGACTAAAATGTGAAAGAATGAGAAATCCCATGACTGATTTCAAATTTGCTAGAAAAATTAAGTTATGTTTAGTAGATTTATTTTTCTTTTTCTTACCTTGTAGTTTATTTAATTTTTTCAGTTTTAATTTTGGTCTAAAAATCTATTTTCTGGACATTTTAACTTTCAAATTTGAGAAAAGATAGAAAATAAGATAAAATATCGAATGAAAGAAGTTTTTTATTTAATGAGAAGAGTTTAATGATAGTAATTTTTTTTATAAACATTCTTAAAAATTAAATTATGTTCCATTTAGATTTTTTGAATCCGGTTTATTTTTATTTTTTAAGAATTTTGCAAATGTGAACTATCTATATCTCGTACCAAATGCTGGAAGGATTGCATGATATTTCACATTTTGCAATTATTTCTTGAAGAGATGAAAACGTACGTGAAATAACCATATCTAACACTTCTAAATTTGGAAAAATAAGGGATACATACAGTGCTCTTTTCAATTGCTGTCAAGCACAATATTCCTTAATTTATTATCCACTTCAAATTTGGTTGAGACTTATCAGCCATTTCTGTCCGCATAGCCTAATACTACGCGGCCGATAAATTGAAACAGAACAAAATTACAGGCCCAGAAGAACACAGAAAAGTTAGAGACCCTTCTTATCTCTTTTTAACATTTTCACGTGACCATGATAACTTCACCTTGTTGGCACACATTGGTGGCTCCAAACGTTAATGCTATGGTGGTTATGGCGGTGGTAATCGTGGTGGTGAACCACCAGCTCATGACACCTTGTTCTTAACCCTTCTCCGTTCACTTGAAATCCCCATTCCCCTACACTCTCTTCTTCATTGTCTTCTTTAACCTCCTCCTCCTCCTTTTTTTGACCCTCCTTTTCTACCTCCAGATATTCTTCTTGTTCTTGTTCTTGTTGTTGTTCTTGCTCTCGCTCATGTTCTTCTTCATCAACTTCATATTCTTCATCTGCAACAAAATGTAATCGCAACCTTCCATTTTGCCGTGAAGCACGTAATATTTCATGCCTATCAATCCTAACTTCTGTCAACTCAAGCCTGCCATCTTTTCTCACTGACTTGAGGAAAAAATTAGGTTGACCATTATGGTTTAAAGAGGAAAGAGGTGGTGGAAATTTCTTGGCTTCTTTTTTCTCACCAAGTTTCCTACATTTGACCTTTGTTATTGTTGATCTTTCCCTTGAACATAACTCAATCTCATCATCAAACCTTCTTTCATCAGAGCTCTCAAAGCCTAGACTCTCAGTGCAAGACATCAAACCATCAATACCACCACCAATATCATCAAGGAATCCAATCCCACGCGGGTCTTTTTTAAAGATGGAGGCTATAGATGATGGTGGTGATGGCGAGTTAGGTGGCGTGGTTGAAGGTGAAGAGGGTTTGATAGTTGTTGATTCAAGAATGTTTGGAGTTTTGTGGATAGGATCACATGTTGTTGCCGTTATTAACCCTAATCCTCCTGCGGGGGGCGAACTGCAAACACCTTGGCATTTGCAAGAAGGCTTTTCAACGCTAGAATTATATTCTCCATCAATACTAACACTCATGGGATGATATGTAAGAGCTAAGAAGGAGTAAACACTTTTCTTACAAAAGCTCATCATGATATATTATATAATCTTTTTTGTAAGAAAAACTAAAATATATAGTACTGTAAATTAATGGATGACAAAAGGAGAGGAAAAAAGATGATAAGAGAAAGAGAAGGAATGGAAGTGGAAAGTTATAGAGAGTTGAGAGGGGGGATGGTGGTATTAATAACATCCGCACAGCAAAGATAGAAAGAGGGAGGGAGGGAGACTGTGGCATCTATAGAGACAGCCAACGTGACAAAAGGGAGTAAGGTTTTAGCTGGATCAGTGATGGAGGAAATGGTGACTGGTCCCACGTAAGATGGCCTCAGACATCGTCCAGATTTCGCCTTCTCCTTCCACACACTTAATTTCTTCCTGTATTATTGCTTGTTTTTGTTGAGATTGGCAAATTTGAAAGTGATTATATATGGCTATAGTTGTGTTAGCCGCCTGGCAAAAGGGTAGGCCTTTCCCTTTCCAATCAAAGAGGGGCTGCCTCCACGTATAATTTCCATGCGGATATGATCGGAAGTTTAGTGTGTTGGCATATGAATTTTCTCTGATTAGTGTTATCATGGATAAATTGAATTAAAAAAAAAAAACTCAATCAAGTTTGAAATGAATTGTTAGTGCCAACATTGCCACAAGCATAAAATGTTTTGATATAAACGTTATACAAAGGCATTCATAATAACGTAATATTTGCAATATATTAAGCAATTCAATGTATATTTATAATGTGTTTCTTGTAATTAGAAGCCAGAAATTCAATCATTTTGTAGTTATGTAGGAAAAAACCTCCATCATACATGTGTTTTTCGGAGGCTTTTTTCAGATCCTAATCTCAAAAAATTCTACCAATGAAACAAACATGTGCAGTATATGGATAGACGACAATATGAGTTGGGCGACTTTTATATCCAATAATATTAAGGAAAAATGTCATAATTATATCTATTTATATAATATGCTGACCTTATATTTTATTTATTGGATAATTTTTATTTTTATAAAAATTATTGAGTTTCTAATCTATTATTTTATTAATTTTTTTCTGTTTAAATTAACTTATTTATTCAAACACATATTTTGATATTATACTAAAAATATTTTTGGGTTCTATGAACATGGCAATTATGTGCAAAGCAGGTGATAAATAGAAGACCATTATATATATAAAAAAAAATTCACACAAGACTAAATCTCTCTTGTTACCAAAAAATTATCAAATACTAACAACAATATCAACATTAAAAATATTATTAATAAATTATGATGAAATTTACTAATGAAAAATCACATCATTATTTTCACTATTAATAACTAATGGAAAAATTTTTTGTCGGTAAATAAAAATGGAATTTAAAGAATAAAAAAATTAGGTAAGTATTCTCTTGTTAATTCTTTTGGAAATTAAGTCTAATGTGTTGATATTTTTAATGAAATTACCATCTAACTTAGTCCAATATCAGAGAGTTTTAAAGAGTTGCAAAGAAGTTATATGACTTTGCTGTTGAACATTTAAATTATTAATGGAATTACCAGTAGAATGAAGTGTTATTAAATTTTATTTTTTTGGGTTTTCAAAAAATCTCAATGTTAGTTATCAATGAAAATACTAATGACCTGTAAAAATTATTAAATAATAAACTTACCATCAATAATCAGGTCAATTAATTTTTATAGATGAAAATACTATTGATAATTTTTTTAAGATATCAAGCGGGAAAACAAACTCACCATGTGTTATTCCAAATAATCTAATTCCATAATCACTCGTTTAATTGGGGAAAACACTATCCAGGGGAACAGTTAGACATATTTGAGTTGCCATTCAGTGGTTTTTGGTAAATTATGATTCTTTCTATTTTGAATGACTTAAATTGCTTTAAAGGCATCAGTCACACCCCCGTCTTTCTTGTTTCTTTAGAATAGTAAGGGTCTATTTGGTTCTCCAGTACTGGGAATGGAATGAAAATAGGATTTCTTTCCAATTTCAAATAGAATTTCTTCTTCTAAATATATAAAAAAATTAAATATTGATCATAAAAAAATCAGTTGAATTGCAGCATGAGTTATTGATATATATATTTATAAGTTTTAAAATTTTAGATAGACGACTCTTTTTTTTCTTTTTAGATTAACGTGGGTGTTCGGGCCAGATTGCGCGCACCACGACTAACCCCACCGGCCCTGAAGTTAACGACCATGTAACCCTTCAGTGGCCATTATATGAGCAACCAAGGACTCGAACCTGAGACCATAGAAAGAGCAAAACTTTTTGTCACAAGTTCTTATCACTTGGCCACCACCTAGATGGTTTAGATAGACGACTCTTGTATAGGAAAGATGTTGCTATTTTTTTTTATGATATGATATACTGATATTATTATTATTATTATCAAATTTATTTAGATAAAAAAGAGAAAATTAATAGAGACAAAGATGAGCATAAGTGTTGTTGTTTTTCTAGTAGCGTTTTTGATAAGCATGACTAGACAGTGCTGCTACATGTCGATCATGACAAGACACTTTAGACATCTTCTCTCGATGCAGGCTCGTTGAGTGCAAGTTCAACTCATAGAGCGTGTGTCTTCTTTAAGCAAGATGTTTATATTGGGAAGTATATTGCTTAGTAAAAAACCGGTCACAACATGTAAGTTTGTTTTCCTTTCTTGCATGATTAAAAAAAAAACAATGGATAAAGTTTGAATAACTAATTTTAATGAACAAATTAAAATTAAAATTTACAAATGTTGAAGTTACCCTTACTATAACATTAGCAATGAGATTTTCGATGAAAGTTCATTTGTTTCAATGTAAGGATAAACTAATTATTTTATAAAATTGACATGTAAAGAAAAATCTTATTAAAAGGAGATTGACAATGGCGTGGCTAAGAGAGTATGAGAGAATCACAATACTATTAGATTAGATTGAATTTAAATTGTGATGTTTTCTTTTATAAAAAAATTAAAATTTTATTTTTTGTTATTTTATTCGATTTTTTATGAACCAAGTTGCATGATTTTTGATAAGATGCCTAGAAAAAAGCAAAGAAATACACAAAAAATAAAAGTCTTCCATGTTGGATATACATGGCCATATAAAGGGGTTTCAAAACTCCACATATCACAGAGGATATCTAGGATACTTATCTCTAGAATGTGACATCGAAGCATTTCTTAAGGCATTCATAGTCCAGCTTAAAGAATCGAACTAAAAAGATTCATAGTTCCATGACCACACATACCAGGGGATTCATTCCGCTCATTTCGCATACAAAGTGGAGGGTAATATTTTATTTTATATGATAATTTAAAAAAAAATTATTGTATTATATGAAACTAGCATTAACTTCCTTTTGTAGACTACAATAGTGCGATCTAAAATCAATGGAGCTTTTTGTTGGAATCCACATGTGAAAGGAGGACAAACATAAAGAGGTGTCAAACTGAGAAGTTTATGGTAAGTAGGATTTGAATATTTTTTTTAGTGATTATTTTTTAAAATTTCAATAATTTTTTTAAAAATAACACTCGATTGCATAAGAGATACAAGGACGATCATTTGACTTATCCAAAACTCAATTCAAATTTATAGTTGCAAGCTGAATCCATCGATGGACCCGATGCAAATCAAGTTTATGGTATCTCCAATACTACAAAGAAGAATATATGGGCGAGTCGTAATCTCTCAACTTTTGAAACCCTACAATCCAGATCGATTCAGTAATTATTGGTCATTAAGGCGATCATACGAGAACAAGTTCAAGCTGATCAAACGACTCAACTTAGGGTTGAGATGACCAAATTAAAGGATAAGTTGAATGTCGTCAAGCAGCCATTGACAACACTTACTAGTATCTATGCTCCACCTCGTTACCCTTCTAGCTTCGAGAAAGATCAGTCTCTACCTTATTCTCTAGCTTTTGCTACCAAGATAAATAAATTGTATTTAATAATATTTTTTATATTAATAATATAAATTTTCTTTTTTATTTAAATTTAATTCTATTTAGAATTGTTTTTTATTTTTATTTAAATTGTTTGTTTTAATTTTTCTAAATAATTACATATAATAACAACATAAATACCATCAGTTTATTCCATCTGTAACATGCATATAATTGTAGTATCAAAGTCTGTTTATTTTAAATATATAGTCTTTTCCAACAAAACACATCAGTTGAGATATTTTGTTGATACACAAAAACATGGCTACCCTACCTTGTGGCCATTTCTTCTACAAGTGCACTGCTTGAAGAAGGAAAAAAAACACCTTTCAAGGCTAAGAAATACGACGGTAATTTAGGATATCCAGAAGTGGGGTCATCGAGTTGATTTTAGTTTGATAATTAGGTTATGTACAAAGGATATTCTTGGACCATATATTAAAAAAAAAGGAATCTCTCAGATGATTGGTTTGGCTAGGAAACTTTATCTAAAATTTCCAACTCCTAGATATAGCATATGACGATTACATTACCCACGTATGCTTTGAGAATTGAGAGTGACTGGCTTTCTGCAATGCGTGAAGCTGTAGCTCTTGATCATTTCAGACACCCATTTATTGTATGGTTTTCCCTTCTCTACAATACTGTTCTTGTCTCTGTGTGTGTGTATATTGTATTTTTCAAGAAGAAGATGCTTGGACGCGTACGCCAACAAATATCAAAGGTCAATAGGTTCCTGGTGATTGTTAAGTACTTGACTTGAGTATGGTCAATCCAAAGGCCAAACCTTGCGGACGAGTAAATTTGGTGATGCATGCTTGCTTCGTTTTGGTGCATAGGATGAAACTAAACACAGAGCAGAGGCCTAACAAACTAAAGCCATACCTCGAGCTGCCTATATATACAAAATACAATAGCAAGTTATGATAAGTTTATTTGTTCGTCACCTTGTAGAAGAAGAAGAAGAAAACCATGATACGTGGAACTCAAATAGTCATATCATGAGTTTATATTTTAAAAATTATTAGTTTGAATAATAAGATCTCGAAGAATTAATCAACATGCACGTCCAAACACCTATAATTACCAAAAATGAAGACCTCCTGGAAGAAGCTGTATCTCTCTGTGGCATCATAAAGCATGGTGTTTTTCATCATGAGATATTGGAGTATATATCCATCATAATTTGACACTAAAATTGTTTTGTTGGTAATTAATTACAGTTATCCTAATAATACAATATCATCGATCCTGCCGATAAGTTATCCTAATAATACAATATCATCGATCATGCCGATATTTCATACGATTGAAAACCGTATTATTCATCGATGTTCACCCGATTTACATGTGTTCGAAAAGAATTATTTCATGGAGTTCACTCAATATCAGGGATTCAGCACCAGAATACAAAATAAATTGATGGACTCAAAAAAGAAAAGAGC